CGGGGAGCCCGGCAGACCCCGCTCCCCGGCTTTGCCATCGAGCGCGTGGCCGGGGATGCCGGGGAGACCTGCAAGGGGAGCGTCGGCCATCAGTGGGTGCGTGCGTGCTGCGTGTGTGGGTGCTGAGCCTGGCCTCTGCCGGAGCAGAGCGGGGACCGGGGTACGGGAAACGCTGCTGGTGAGGATGGGGATGCGGGAGCAGAGCGAGGCGGCAAGCGGGCAATACCGAGGGGCCGGGAAAGCGGCTGGCAGAGCTGCAGGCAGGGAGGAGGCAGCAAAGGGTGCTACAGGTCGGAGATTTGCAGGATGAACCCCTGCAGGTTTGCGGAGATGGGCCAGAAGGTCCCGAGCCACTGCTGGGCTCGTCATCGCACCGGCAAGGAGCACGGGGGCTGCGGGGACCCACCACTGCCTGCCCTGTCTCTGCTGGGGGGAGAGGGGCTTACCTGGGATCCCCGGGGGACCCGGCATGCCCGGGTGGCCTCGGCCAGCTTCTCCCCGCTCGCCCTTCTCGCCTCGCTTCCCTGCGGGGAAAGAAACAGTGGGGAAAAGACTCGGAGCCGCAGTGGGAACGCGGACCCTGCAGGGGAGGGGAGGGGGCTGCCCCTGCTCAGGGACCCTGCTGGGGGACAGATGTGGCAGGAGGAGGCAGGGTCAGCCCCGAGGAGGGCTTCTGCCCGGCACGGTGTGGGTACAGCCACCCACCACCTACCTTTAGGTCCTATGTTGCCGATCTGCCCGGCAGCACCCAGGATGCCGGGGACACCTCGAGGTCCCATGGGTCCATGTGGACCCTGCTCACCGGGTGGCCCTGGGGGACCGGGGGGTCCTGGGGGTCCCATGGCACCTACTCCACCCAGGGCTGCTCTCTTGGCACTGACCGCTACCTCCGCCAGCTGCTCTGTAGGGCAGAGAGAGGCCGGTGTGGGCCCGGCACGGCGGCAGCCACCCGGCCGGCGGTGCCCCGCTCGCCCCCTCACCTTGCAGCATCTTCAGGACCACGTCGACGATGTGCTGGTCCCCGGCGTCCCGGCCCTGCGGCGGTGAGAAGAGGGACATGCGGTAAAGGGACATCACTCCCTCCATCCCCGCCTGCACCCGCTGCACCAGTTCCATCCCGACCCCCCAGTCCAGAGCGCCTCCCTGCATCTCATGCCGCCTTCCCACCCTTCTTCATTTTCCATTCGGTCCCAGTAGCAGCGCTCCAGCCTCAGCTCACACCGTGCCCGGCCACGCTGCAACCTGGTCACTGCATCAACTTTCTGCAGTCCCATTTTTCAAGTATAAAATGAGGTTTATATGGAAAAATTCAGTCCCCAGACAGGCGGTAAAGATACATATTGGAGCTAAACCTGCTGCTGGTGCTATATACGGTGAGAAATAAAGAACTCCTCTTTTCTAGAAAGGTGGGACCCCAGCTCAGCCCTCCTGGAGAGCTCGGGGGGCAGCACCAGCAGCTCCCACGCCAAACATTTCCCAGAGGAACTGGTTGGTAAGAAAAGGTCGGAGGCAGTCACCTGTAGAGCTGACGGTGGCAGCCGCCGGGGCTCCACCTACGCGGTGCGGGAGGTGAGGAGGGGATGTGGGGTGCTGGGGGGCGACTCACCGCTATGCCCCGCTGGCCAGGCATCCCCGGCACACCGCGCTCCCCGACGAGTCCTCGCGGGCCGGGGGGTCCCGGGTAACCTCGCACACCGGGTGCGCCTGCATCGCCCGAGGGGCCCGGGAAGCCAAGCTCGCCCTGGATGCCTTGCTGCGGTGGGGATGGAGAGCGGCGTCAGGAACGGGGGGCTCAGCCCCATCCTGAGCACAGGGGCTGTGCCCCGAGACCTCGAGGACTTCCAGAACCCAGTGCTGACCACTACAGCCAGGGTTTAAACCTCACACAGGGGCTGAGCCTGAACCCAGGGCTGAACGTGGTGACTGAAGCCCATCTCCAGTGGAGATGCTTGCTCAGGCCACCAGCACGCAGCGTGCACCAGCTCCGTGGAGCGCCACTGCCTTCCTCAGGGCGATCGTCTCCAGCTGAGGGTCCCACAGAGCCACCCAGCGGGAAGATGACGGGAGTCCCTCGCTCCCAAATCCCCCATCACTCACCTGTCCCTTCGGCCCCGGCTCACCCGATTCACCCTGGGGACAGAGCACAT